ACATTCTTGAAACTGCTATTCAATCTCAACGCACAAACGCGTAACCAATTAGAAGCAATCCGCTGTTATGGTTTCGCGTTTCACCGATTACTGATTGGTTGCGCGTTTCCGTATTTCCGTAGAGTAGCACTCATGTAATATCACCCTATGCCAGCAAAAAAATGACCTACATAGTAAAGAACTCCATGCTATTCATGTCCCTACCTTTCCCCCTCTCCCCTGACAAAAAATGTCTCAGGACTTATTTTCCCATTCTCCATTTTCACTCTCACTCTCTTTCTCAACGTGACCTCTCCCTCACCAATCGTAGCGTGGGCAGCCATGGAGCGAACCAATCGGTGCGTGGGCAGCCATGGAGAGAACCAATCAAAATGCTCTATTTAATTACTTCATTATCCCCTTTTTTCGTCTCCAACCAATCAGAGTCCCCATTGTTCCAGACGGACCCGTCTAGGCCACGCCCATGATATCTGGGGAGGCGTGGAGGGGGTTCGTTTTGTCAGCTCGGCGGTGGGAAGAGGGGGCTTGTTTTGACGCCAGGGTAGAGTAGAGGGGGTTTGTTATGACTCTCCATGGCTGCCCACATACTACTGGCGCACTTTTCCATGCGAGGGCCTCCGCCCTCCTTCCGCTCCGATTGATCCGCTGTTTCCCGAGTACGCTCCCGCGTGCATTCCAACGAAGCCGGGAAAAGTGACAATATATCTTTACATCCTTTATTTTATTGCTTTGATCTCCTGACATCATGGAATCTGCCTTTTTTTACAGTACAGCGTTAGACATTTATCTCTTAATTAACATAATTTTTTCAATCATGAATATTTTTCAAATAAATGAGCGACATATATACTAACTTTTAGGAAGCTTTATTATAGTATCAAGAACATAATGAAACAAAAATAGAAAAGAAGCTGTTTGTCCTAATTTAGAAAATATTTCATCCTATCTTCCTGCCGAGAAGTTATGAAGCGTCGAAGCATTCTTTAGCATCTGCGTGGCGTTCTTTAAGATATTGTCGAAATCATCTTTCGTATCGTCCTCTTTTTGGAACTGTATAAGTATTACAAGATACGTTGTGACGGCACCAGCGATCTAAAATAATCATATTATTATTCATTTATATCTCAAAATTAGCCCGGGTGGAAATTTCGACTTGGTGCTGTATTGGCCTCATCTGGTTTTCCATGAGTTGATGTAGACGCTGTTGGAAGGCTAACCTGGGCTATACTGAGCGGTAATAATAATATTAGCCAATCCAAATATTGGAAAATTATCTAGAACCTCATTCGCGATGCAGTATAGTCTCAATATTGAGAAATTGTCTAGGTCCTGGCTCGCGAGGTGGTGCTGTTGAAATTTTGGAAAACTGTCTAGGCCTTGGCTCGCGAGGCAGTGTTGCCCCAAGATATTAAATCTGTCTTGCCTCTATTTAGGAAGAGACAGGGTAACTTAATTAGATGTAAAATTAATAAAATAAATACCAATTTGAGGGGTTATTCCACCCTGAAACTTTCAAATAATCGAAAATTTTTTTGTTTAAATCGATAGTTTAGGATTTTAAGAATATAAAAAAAATTGTTATTCGAAAGTGAAATTCCCAATATTAACGAAGATACAGTTGATTATGTCGAGCGGTGCACAGCAATACCTCCACGCCACCGTTAAACTGTTCCATTTATGAATAGTTCTGTTTTTGTTTGTTTTGTCTAGTGGGATCATTTTTTTAACCAACAAATTAATAAATGCAGCCAGATTACGGATTTTTTGGAGACTGTCTTCTTTGATTATTTAGAAGACATCCATCTGCAGCAACGAATGAAATGTGATTCCAACTCAATGGGTGTCTAGCTCATTATCGCAAACCTACTCGAGCTGGGCTAGACAGACATTTTCCACGATTGATTGGACGTGGAGGAGTAGTACCTTGGCCACCCCCATCATCTGATCTGACACCACTGGACTTTGTGTGGGGTGTCCTGAAGGAAGTTTATTCGTCGTCAATAAACTCAAGAGAACAGTTAAGGAATCGAATCGAGGCTGCTATGCACCAAATACCGCCAGATCAGTGTTTAGCTGCAACACGAACTGTCCGTACTGAATGCAATGCTTGCATTGCTGCAAGAGGCTAACATTTTGAACAATGTCTACATTAAACAAGTGAATAAATACAACGTGAATAAGTAATGAGAATGTACAAAAATGAAAACTACATTTTGTCTTTTTTGCGATTTTCTTCAAAACGAGCATCTCTACACGACTTTTTTTCTTAGGTTATCGATCCCCTAATTTTGGCATTTAGATTCCAGACATCCTGTACAGTACATATAGTAATTCAGATTGAATTATTCAAGTATTAATGGTCTAGCTTTGACCTTTACGGCCATTACTTATATTTCTTATTGTTTAATAATATTAATTACATTAAAATATGGCTATTATAATCCTGCCTCATTGGCCGCCGCTAGCTAGCTTCGGGCTAATTTTCCCATCTTGGCATCCCCGCACATTTCTGCCTAGTGCCTAGATGAAATTCTAGATAGTGTCCATGCCAGTATCGGAAATCTTCCGATACTGGCATGCCACGATATTTCCCACGGGACTCAATATAGAAATTTGTATCGCCCAGACACATTTCCACCCGGGAGTATGCAGAGGAATGATAAATTATTTCTTACTGATGTTACAAGAGTTCGATCTAGAGTGAAAAGTCCACACGCTGAGAATTCTAACGGACGATGTAGGAGTTGAAGTGAAAATATCTCTAATTGCTTCTTGCTTTCTTTGTCAAGACTCACTGACAGTAGCTGGCTGATCAAAACGGCTGTTTTTTTTCCCTGAAGATAATTGTATAAACCATACATAAACTTATAGAATTGTAATTATAAAAGCAAATGGTATGTGCTCAAGGCGCATCATTTTAACTTATTATTGTTGAATAATTTTGAATGTGTATCGGAATTTAAACTGTTTTAAATATCAAAAATCGAGAAACAAAAGGCTCAAAAGTCGCTTAAAAGTCAGTTATTGTTACAGTATGGTCAATACAGATACATCAATGTACATCAATGTATGTATTTTTTACGACAGGGAACACTACTATGTGTATAAGTGTTAGCTGAAATGATTGCTAAACAGAAAGTATGTATTAAAACGGTGTAACATCCCACGTAGCACGTAATATTACAATAATACTGCAGTAATACAATATATCAGAAATATTACTTATTACAGCGAAATATTTAATATTACACGTTGATAAATAACATTGAAATATTACAATAATATTGTTGCAATACATCATTGCAATATAACGTTTTAAATAGCAAGGTGCCATTAAATGGTGTTTTTGTGATGTCTTATTGACAATAGAGACACCATTAAGATATATACTGAGACATCACAAAATTAAACGTATAGGATAACTCCGGTATATACGCCGCACCTATCAAAAACTTAATTTATTAAGTATTATTTACTGTTTAAAGTAAACGAACTATATCAGTAAAAACTTTGTACTATCTACTACTATGAAAAAAATATTAGAAATCGAAATATATATTTATTTTTCCTATTAAGAAATAAACTTTTTGAAATCCTTGCATGTTTGCCGTATATCCCATAGGAATATATAGCTACTCATAAGGGGAGAGGGGGGTATGTACGGCTCATGAAAAATTTTCAAATAATGCTTATAAATAAGACATAAAATGACATAATAACTTATAAAATGCGTTTATAAAGTTTTATTAAGGAATAAGAATGATAAATATGTATATGAAGTAATAATTACAATCTTCCTACATACATATATTACAAGTGTTATGACATGAGGTACATACATATTTCATGTAATATATTTATTGCATTTAGTGCACTGAATTCAATCTGCGCGCTTTGTATGCTTTGGGCATAAATCCCGCCCGCTAAAAATGCCATATATCCTAAACAGGTGGGATATACAAGACAACAAACTAAACAAAGAATACGAAAGCAAGGCACTTGTATTTTGTTATAAAACATGCTTTACTATTCCTCTACATGTATGTATCACGAAATAACCACTAAGTCTTTTACATGCCCTACAATAATCATTTTATATAGATTATAACTTATGATGGCGCTACTTATTACAGTGACAAATCGATTCAACTCACAATAATTTTATTAATATTAACAGTAAGAAGCTGAAATCATAACACAATATCAATATAACAAAGGCATGTAACAGAGTAGTTGCGGGAAAATTATCTCCACTCCTATTTTTTCTTCTGCGGCGTAAATCCCAACGCGGCGTATTTGTCGGAGTTATCCTATATGTTAAAACACCTATGGAATCGGCCGCACGAAACGCTTTGACGGATACAGCTAAACGGTACGATATCGAACGAGTATTGTAAAGGTTCGTAAAATCTCTATTAACATCAATCGATGAGAAGTGATGTCAATTGCAAATTCGATACAACATAATTTATATCAGTAAAAGAACTTTTTGAAATAGTTTGGATATTTGTTTGGATAATGTAATTAATATTAATTTCATTTTTAATTTATTTCTTTATTACTTATAACATATTTAAAATATCCTTGCGGCAATACATGAAGAATCACGACTATCTCCGAACTACAAATTTATATCAGCGTAACTATGAATTTAAAATTGTAACTTACTGAAAATTAATTTTTGCTTTCCACTTTAAATATTGTAAACACTGAGGATGGCCTGATAAAAAGGTCGAAACGTTTGTTCAATATTCAAATATATCATTTTGACTCGTAGTCCTTATTATTATTTTATGTTTATTTAAAATATCCTTCTTACTGATATAAATGATGTTGCACCGAATTTGCAATTGACATTACTTCTCAACAATTAACTCTTTCTTTACCGGGTATGTGTCCGCAAGTAAGCTTTCTCTGTACCGAGGACTCCGCCACAAGTGCCCACTTTGGCCATGTTCCGATATACATTGTTAGTACTGAAAATCTACAGTATACATAACGTGCAATATAGATTTTCAGTACTTGCAGTGAATAACGAAACACAGCATTTAAAGATAGAGCATCGCCGCGAAATTAGTGTACAGTACCGAACACTATCTATAGTCGGCGCTGGTATTGTTTGTTATGTAGATGCTGACTATAGTCAACGCTGGTATCCACCGCTTGTTATGTGGATGCCGACTAAAGTCGGCGTTGATACTGAAATCGTAATTAATTTAAGAATACCGCAGTAAATTAATACAAATTTCACAAACATTTGCAATACTCGTTCGGTACCATGCCATTTAACGCTCTATCACGACGAAATTACCCTTTTTAAAGGTAAAAAAAGGCGCCAAGTGTATGCGTGTTTGTATGTGTGCTTTTGAAAAAAAAAAATGACTTTGTAGCAAACCTTTTCCAAACCTATTGGGTTGGAGGAAAAGTTCTGCGAAAAGCTCCCCTTGGAGCTCCCGAATTAGAATCGGCCTATCCACTCTACTCCTATATCTCCTTATTATGTGTCCGTTTTTATCTTCTATTTATTTAAAAATTTAATTAAAAAATTTATTTAAAATTTATTTAATTAAAAAATTTATTTAAAAAATATTTATTTTGTCGGTAGTCCGTTATTAATCTTATTTATAAAATATTTAAATTATTTCCCTTTCAGAAAATAAAAAACATCTGTCGACTTTTGAACTCAAAAATTTTGTTTTTAACTGTAGTATTATTAATTACTTTTAACTGTGCTAAGTTGTAAATTTAATCGATTTATTTATTTATTTAAATTATGGACCGACCTGTGTTGTAACAGCGTACGTAGGCTGTACGATCATGAATAATCTCCAGATATGAAAGATGCACCATAATCCTTGTACCGCAAGGAACAGTGGTTCACGTCTTCCATCAGCTTCCATTATTAAAAAATACGGTGTAATGATTAAATGTATTAGGCAGGTGATTGTAATCATAAGCGCAACAACACCATAAGCAGTATTTATAAGCATCACGGTGTCACTTAATGATGCATGGACTGTCATCAATTGGGAGATGCTATCCGTGAAATTTTTGCCATCTAGAAAAAAAGATTTACTTTAAAGAAGAGAGTATTCTAGTTTAGAGGCCTCATTTTTGAGATTACTTTTGGGAATCAAAATAAAAAAATTATCAATGTTTCAGTAGAGGCGAATGTCATCGAAACCATTAAACGACTTCGTTTAAGACCATGTCTAAAATGGTAATTTAAAAATAAAGCTTTGGGAACACAAATATAAACTAGAAAGTGTCTTCTATTACGAGGGACACTACTTATATTTTGAGCCTTGGCAACACTGAGTGCCATCTGGCGTTTCCACTAGAAAGTTTGACATTTTTGACCATAACCTTCTTCAAAACGTTTTGTTATTTGAACGCGATTTGTATTGTTTACAGTCACTTGAAAATTGTCTCAGCGAAAAAATGGAATTAACTCGTGAAAATTTTCGTGCAATGATTTATTACGACTTTCGACGTGGATTATCAAGACAGGAATGCATCGATCAACTTACTTCCACTTTTGGCGATAAAGCCCCATCCTTTGCCACTGTGAAACGCTGGTATAACGAATTTAATCGTGGTCGCCGTTCGCTCACCGACGAAAGTCGTGAAGGTCGTCCAAAATCAGTTGTTGTGTCAGAAAATATTGATGCTGTGCAAAAACTAATAATGCAAGATCGTCATGTGACATACTTGAGATTGAGACAACCTTAGGCATTAGTTCCACCAGCATATATAAAATATTGCATGATCATTTAGCCGTGAAAAAGGTTTGTTCTCGTTGGATCCCACATATAATCTGACAAAATCTCAAAAAGATGCTCGTGTCGATTGGTGCAAACAAGTGGTTCGAACGCATGCAAAAGTGTATAGATCATAAAGGAGAATATTTTGACAAACAATAGTCATTTTCAATGACAAATTACTGTTTTTTTATTATTAGGCTCAAAATATAAATAGTGCCCCTCGTAGATGATATGGCAGTTTCTATAATACTGTTTGAAATTTTATTTTTTGAGGCTTCTGTCAATATCAAATCAAATCTCAATAAACGACTTATATTTTGTGCACTAAGAATAACATATCGCACTTATTTTCTAGAATCAAATTGTAATCTGTTTTACTTGTATGTATGTATGTTCATTTCGAACTTGCACCTTGAATAATATATGAGTTACTTTTTATGCTAATATATTATTAAATTTAGATAATATACTTTATGTATGTTCACTTTAAACTGGCACCTTTAATAATATACCATTTACCTTTCATGGTAATGTATTGTATTATTAGATAATCATTTAAATTTTTAAAGGTTTAAATTTTTGAAGATCTTTTTTTGAACATAGCTTGATGTACCTTATGTTTAAAAGTTGTGTACCATTCATAAAAATTGTTTTGCTCATAACTTTTTAATGAATAATGAGCAATGGAAAAGATCAATGATCTTGACTTTCTTAATGCTAATGCCGACTGTACTGTAATTTTCGAGTCTTATAACTCGAAAAATATTTAATGAAAAAATATTTTATTATAGTGTTTCGAAAAGCTCTCGAGGTAAGCTACAAGAAAATGTAATGAAAAATAGGAGGTTTCATTTTTTAATATCAACGTGACCTTGATCTGGCTTTGGCGACGCCACCCAAGATCAAATCAATAGTACCTACTTATGTCCCCCTCCGAACCATACAACTTTTGTTTGAAATATTTTTCCGTATCTACCATAGTTTTCGAGAAATCTTAATACATTATTTAAAATGGGACACCTTGTATATAAATATATGCTTCTCAAGCACAGATACATTAATATATATGTATATACACCTATTATACACATTAAATAGTTATCTATCTCTGACCACTACTGTGGCCCTCTAAAAGTTAAACTCAGCAAACATTTCTAAATTACAAGTGTTTCTGACTGTATTATTCTCAAACTCTGACATATTAAAAAATTGTTTTGGATGACACATAATTTGTTTTGTGTTCAATTGTCGCATCTGTTGAGCTTTTTTCTTATTTGTTTTGAAAAATAATTTTGAATAGGTAATATTATAATAATGAATAATGCGCACCCAATCCAAGCTCCTTCTTAAATTGATCTGTGATTCTGCCACTGTTAAAGATGTTCTCAAGGTTTTTATTAAGTCTGCAGAATCTCTGGCTCACATTGTAGACAACAACGGCGTATTGAACTTCCATCATGATGATGACTATATACATGAAGTACAGGGGAACGTAATTGATTGGACCTTTGTCGTTCAGTTTCTTGTTCAGTTTCGTCTTATAGTTCCATGTGTAGATATCGAGAGATGAGATGATGATGGAATAGAGAAGACTCCAGAGTGTCAAGAGGATTGTGTATCGTCGGATCTTTTTCGGCGAAACAATTCCTAGCTTCTCGTCGCACTTTATCGCAGATGAATTGAATATGAACATCAATTGCAATAACAATCCTGGTGAAAAAATGTCTGAAAATTTTGCTGTAAATGCCTGAAAGTATTTTTCAGGGATTTTCAATAATACTCAAAGACTTTCTCAAGGAAATTTAGGGACTATCAGCGAATTCTCTGAAAATCATTTCTAAATATCTGAAAGAGTACTTAAATTTTGCTGAAATTCGGAAATTCAGTGGTCTCTGAAGATAGAATTTTCACAATTTTTCACTTTTCAGAGATTTTCAGCGATTTCTTTGAAAATCATTTTCAAGAGTCTGAAAGTCCCCGAATTTCGCGGGAATTCAGTGATGTCTCTGAAACTTAAATAGACAATAAATAACACACTTATCAAAAAGTGATAGCACGTAAAGCAGGAAACTCATAATCGAGAGATCCCAGGTTCGAATCCTATTAGGTAAGTGTGTTTTTCGTAATAATTTCAGGTAGAATCATTACATATATCTTGTATGAAACAAATTCTGTTAAAAAAGAAATAAAATTTATAAATCTTAAAATATAAATATTTCTTTTAGTATCGCATTCTCGAAAATCTCTGAAAATCTGATAAATTCTGAAATTTTACTTTGATTATACTGTAAAAAATTTTATGAAAATTTTTAATAATCACTGAAATATTTTGACAAATCTTTGAAATTTTATTGAAAAATTCTTTGAAAAGCTTTACCACATGTCCGAAAATATGGACACTTTTAAGAAAATTTTCAGACCCTTAGAGAAATTTTCGAAGAAATTCAGAGAAATTTTTTCACCAGTGAATTAATTAAAAAAGACTTACATCAACTAGTATATCGATAATAGTTTGCACGTGTTTCCAGCATAGAATTGAACCGACGATGGAACAGGCTGTGAGACTCATTACACCCATTACATCGCTGGTAGTAACAATTACCGCATTCTGTGACTTGAGTCGAGTGCTATGCTCCCATCCATCTCTTAAATCACGCCAGAAACCCCAAATCTCGGCACTGATTAGACACACCAATAGGCACACACTGCAACGCATTATTCTAATTATTTTACTTATTTACATGAATTAACCAAAATAATTCGAAAACACATAAAATAACTTTAGAAAAATAAATTTAAATGCTGAAGAATCACTGTATCGATCTCGATTGAGATCTTGCGTGATGGGAAGATTAGCTAATGGGATTGGTAGAACAATAAAATACTATACTATTGTATTTTTCCGTGCAACAAAAGAAAACGTATGTACAAGCTAACTGATCCGCAGCAACATCAGAACTGAAGTCTATTTTTGATTTTGTGACTTTGACTTTGACTTTGTCACTTTGTTTACGGTTGTACGAATAGTACCTCACGTGAAGCAAGGCACATTTATGCAGGAAGATATCTCCAACGCAATTTACCGTTTCGTCAAACGTTTGCGAACATTCACCTGTATTTCGGAAACTAAGCTGTTTAGGACACATGTTTATATGGATTTTTTTACTTGAAATAAACCAAAGAATCGCTCTGTTGAGTATGGCAACATACTTAACTAACACCCTGTATATATACCTACATATTTTTAAACAATTGTGTTTTCTTTAAACCAATTAACTAATATTCGGATTCATCCCGAAAACAAAAAGAAAGGAAACAAAAAGAAATGAAGAAGAAGAAAAAGAAAGAATAAGCAAGAAAGAAAGAAAAAAATGTAGGAAAGGAGATATTTATGTTAGTATCTTGGAGTTATATTCCATTTTCATTATTAGTGATTTTCACGAAAAGGAAAAGGAAAAAAAAAAGGAAAGAAAAAAGATGAAAGGAAGCATGTTACGAGAAAGAAAATATTAGTATTCATATTAGTATCTCTCGATTTTATCTTTTTTATTATTAAAAGACTTAAAAGAAAGGAAAAGGAAACGAAAAGAAAGAAAGGAAAAAAGAAAATATAAATAAAAGAAGGAAAGAATGTATGAAAAGAAACATAACAGTATATGCAGCAAAATATGTGTTCGTATTAATAGTTTTGTGTCGTATACAATATTTTTAATTATTAGTAGTTTTCATGAAAAGGAAAGGGTTCCTAGAATGGAAAGAATTGAAAAGAAAAAGGAAAAGGTAAGGGAAAGAAAGAAAGCTGAAAAGAAGAAACGGTAAATGTTCATCTTTACAGTCAGCCCAAAATGACTTCCGAGTGACCTTGACCTTGACCCTCAAGACCCTCACTGACCTTTTCCGTCGCTCGCTATTCGTTAAAAAGTTATCAACGAAACAATTTGTATACACAGAATTTTGGAACACAAAATACATATGAGATCATTCTCGTTTCACATAATATTTATTCAACACATAAATAACATTTTGCCTATATTTCACTTTAAAAATATTATATTTCAGGGGAGGAAGGGGTACGAGTCGAAGATAAGAGTCGCGCGCCCCTTTGCAGAGGGGGAGGGGGATGAGAGTCGGGGGTGAAAGTCATGCGCCCCTTTGCAGAGAGAAGGGAGGTGAGAGTCGAAGGTGAGAGTCGCGCGCTCCCAAGCAGGGGGCCTTCTGCCAAGGAGTGCACGACTTTCCACGCGAAGCGTATACTTTTAATTTACACAATTTCAACTTAATTTCACGACATTACATTAAATTTAATATATTTACCTAATCTGGACCCCCACCGGCGCAAATCGAGTTGGGACAAGGTAAAAAATTTAGTGATATTTTATTGCTAATTTGTTGCTCTAGAGCGAATTTTGTTGCACCAACCGTTTAGCAGCAAAAAAAGAAAATAAGGGATCCAAGTTAATGGCAAGCTGGAATTGTCTCCCACATTGAAAATTATATATACAGAGCTGCGATATTAAAAAAATAAGTACCAGATTTTGTTGCTTTTTTTTGCTCCAAGATAGCGCAAAAACATCGCAAAAATTACATTGTTAAATAAATATCCATAAATAATCAAAACTGCACCGTTACGCGTCCCAGCTTCATAACTAAAAGTTACATGTATAAAATTTGTTGCTCGCATGACTTTGGTACCAAAATGTTCCTTGTAACATATATTATCGAAATATACCCATTTCCGATTTTGTTGTTAACTGTAACATGAAAAACAATTAGATTATCGGGATTGGCGCTCGCACCGTGCACTAAGTTCCCTTAATCGTTGTTTAAAGAACTTGTTGCTCGTTTTTGGTACCAAAATGTTTCTTGTAACATATATACATCGAAATATATCGGTTTGACCGACAAGAGATCAGTTTGATTCTGGGTGGCGTCGCCAAGGTCAAGTCAGTCATGATGATTTTTTTAAATGAAACGCCCTATTTTTTATACCAGATACCGGCTATTACATTCTGGAATAAAAAATAGGGCATTTCATTTAAAAAAATCATCATGACTGACTTGACCTTGGCGACGCCACCCAGAATCAAACTGATCTCTTGTCAGTCAAACCGATATATTTCGATAGTATATATGTTACAAGAAACAACGATTAAGGGAACTTAGTGCACGGTGCGAGCGCCAATTCCGATAATCTAATTGTTTCTCATGTTAGCGCGCACTTTTGTACTCAGGGTCGGCGGAACGCGGTAAACGAGTTCGGCATTGCGGGGGGCGCCATGTTTTAGGGGCGCCTAACGCGTACCTATATTGTACTGAATGAGATTGAAATACATTTCTTCAATAAATTGCGAAATACATAAAAGTCGTAAATTATTGAACTATGCAGCATTATAAAGCAAATAATTATGATTCGTGATCCTTTTATGCATTCCGAAATTCCTAAAAAAAATCTCAATTTTAGTAATATCAAGTGTATATCGATATATATCTTTCGATTTTCGCAATCTTTTTTTCTCAACACTCTTCTTTTTTTCTTCCTTTATATAATATCTCTCATTTTTTTAAAATGATTGTTCGACGAGATTCGGGTAGAGATACGCGCCGGTGAATAGTCGAATGTAACTTTCATATTTTTTCTGTTTAATTTTTCAAATTGAAAAATTTAATTTAATTTTTTGAAAAATATTTAACAAATATTTTACACAAGTAGTAATTACTGTGTAAAGACATATGCAATGTTTAGTGACATTTCTGTTTCTAGGAGAATAAATTCTTCTATTAGATATTGGATAATTATGTCGAATGTTCGAAGCAGTGTAAATCTTGCACAACCATTTTTGAAAAGCGAATCGCGCTCGTAGTCTGACGCGCTTTAAAAGTTCTGAACATTTGAACGAAAGAAGACACGCCTTAGTTACGAGTACATTGTTTTCCCCAAATACCGTCGTGTTAAAAAAAAAGTTCTCAGAATGTTAGTTTTGGGCTGTAAGTTGTAGGTTTGAAATTAGATTTGAACTAATTAGAAACTCTACATGTAGGGCGCTAATTTAAAATTTGCGGGGGGCGCCAAATATCCTAGCGCCGTTCCTGTTTGTACTAGTACCTTCAAAATTTTTAGATACTAAATAATTGGATAAATGTATACTTTAGGTTACGTCTTATCGATTTGAGTGTCCTTAAGATATGTTGTAAAGGAGAATGTCCTGAGTGATTTCCCAAAAAAGTGGGGGACTGCATTGATTTAGGAGATATAATTCCATAATATATACAGGATAACATTAGTATTAGTAAGAGGTATATTATGAATAGTGAAGTTTGTATATCCCGTACTAATCTCTTGAAGAATGTAAACAAAGTCAGAAAATCACAGAAAATCACATATTTTGTCAATAATCAACATAGTTCTCGCAATTCGTTAACAGCTTTCAATATGCGACTGTACGAATTTCTAAATCTTGTTAATGATGAGAATAAATGGTAGTCTTCGTTTCGCGTTATAAAGTCTATGTGTGGAGGCGGTACGTGCTACCCCCCCCCCTGCGAGGAGCGGCATTGCCTCCAAAAATATAATCTAACCCAATCCATATTTTAGTATTGGATAGTTCTTGCTTTACGTATACTTTACAACGCAAAATAATAAATTAAAGTTTCATATAACATGTAGGGAACGACATTGGAATAGAAGGTATATTATGAATGCATGACAAATCGTATGCTCCTAGGCAGAGAGGGAAGGCGGGATGGACCTCGTTTCGCGTAAAAAATCGTGCGCCCCTTGGCAGAGAGAAGGTGGAGTGGATTTTGTTTCGCGTTAGAAAATGTATACGTATTGGCAGCAGAGTTGGACATAATCAATTATTTTTGATAATCATTTACATAGTCATAAGCAATTCCTATAATTTTAATTACAGAGTAATTGATTACTTTAGTATTCATGATTAGTGATAATCTTACTTTCTAATTACTAAGTAGTTTAAATACTCAGTAATTATACAGTATGATTACAAGTAATCATGATTACCAAAGTAATTGATTACTCTGTAATTAAGATTACAGGAATTGTTTAAGTAATTGGTTATCAAAAGTTGTAGATTACATCCAACTCTGCTACGAATACGTCTATTTTGTTCAAGCTGAAGCCGATTGTACCATTTCAGAAATTCTTAAATAAAATATAAAATATATCATAGAAATGAGACTTATAATTTCATTATATATTATTTCATTTATGCAAGAGATCGTCTCGAGATCGGTTAAGTGGTACGCATTCGGTAACTCTCCCCTATATATTTTCGTGAATAAGAAATTTAAGTATATCATTTATTGTTACCTGTAAATGCTATCAGTGACACTCAATCGGCCTTGATATCTACCAGATACTTGTGCGACGAATCTCGTTGGAAATACACCGGATAGTTTGCTCAAGTAATAAATTGGGAACACTGCTTGGTATAGATCGCTATTTACAGACTTGTTATTCGCTCCATTGGAATTCATGTCGTATTTGTCCATTTCTATAGATTTGTCTATACATATTTAAAGTGAACTGTATTATTCTGGGTTATCGATTCAAATTAATAACCCCAAGTGGAACATATTTATGTTATATATTAAATTCAATGCATTAATTTTCTTTATACACAATCGTTAAAATTCTGCGAATCATAATGATAAATTTTAATTTGTATAAATTAACGTAGTATTAATATTGCGTAGCATTTATTAATCTTTTCACAATAATTACTTTATCTTTTATAAACGTTAATTAACTAATAATCCAAAGAAAAAGTTTGACGTATTAATATTTTTGTTTATTATACTTTTCGTGTATCAAAAAAAGTATTGTGTTTTAAAATAGTTAATGCTATAAAGGAAATAAAATATAAATATTTGCACATTTAAAACTTGAGATTATCAAAAAATAACAAAATATGTTATCTTACTATTCATCCTATTCGTCATTTGTTGCTTATCGGAATTATTCCATTGAATGTGCGTTTTTCTAGACACAAGGCTAATATCCTTCATAATATTTGTAAATGTAAGTGTTCTCAAAATGATTCACGAGTTTGATGAATTCCTACGATCACATAAAATAACTAAATTCAAAACTCTTCAAGTAATCGTAATATTTAAAACAAAATTTTAAAGCACAGAATGTAGCGTATACATACATATATATATATATATACATACATATATACATACATATATATATATATATGACATATGATAGAATAAATTATTGGTGATATAAATATCACCTTTTCATACTCAGCAAGAATTAGGTAAAGTCACGAGAAAATTCTTCGTAAGGAAGTTGATTCTTTCACTCGAAATTGACTTTATAAGAATCGTTGTTGACCGCATTATTGAAATTTATCGGATTTACCAGCGTATTCATCAATTTTTCAGTTTACTTCAAAGCACGAATAGCAAAACAGAATGCAATAGACTAGAAAACAAATGCGTGTTGCGTTTTTATACATTCGCACCTATCCATTCATACGTGTCAAATTGTCGACAGGTAATTGTTGTTAACGATAGACTGCAATTGATGCTTATCCTTAAAAAAACTACTCTCTTATCTCTTTCTAGCACGCACTCAACGTTGCCACGAAATCCGGAAATATACACGTTTACATGCGCATTCTTAACAGGAATCTACGAAACGAACTCTGATCTTACAATTAGGTAAATTGCTAGTATTTCTGTAAGACTCTCGTTGGTAACAAGAAAGATTCTTTAAGACAAGACAAATCAAATCTGTTTTTCACACAAGTACGATCTAATCGATAGAATAATGTGATTCTAGGACAACTATGTTTTTCCTACCTGCAATGTGTTATCAGACAGGTGTCAGAGAATAATAAACGAAAGCGGCATCATTATTATCAGTTAAACGTGGACAAACAGTGCATGGTACGTTTAAATATATAAAACAAATATTATTTTTCTTCCTCTCTTTTATTGTCAGAGCTCTTTCTTTTCTGAGGATGTTTGGTACCTATTTTCAAAATATTAAGAATTTAACAAAATTTGTGCAGATTGATCCATTATTACATCTGAATATCTATGTAAAATTTGAGCATAATTCTCTTATCTGCTTAAAAAATATTTAACTTTTTGTTTATCTGGATTCTTTATCCAGTAAAATAGCTTTAAATAGTTTTACAATACTTATTTGCAAATTTGATAAGAAAGTAGTAAATTGAATCAAATTGTATACGTAAATTTTATACGTAAAACTAATAAAGCAATAATAAATGTTCCTGCAAAAGTTTATTTGGATGCACCTACTCGTTTAAAAATTTTTTTTACCCAGATGGCACCCTCATTTAGGAAAAGTTCGCTTAGGATTCAGAATAAAAAGTTCCTAGTAAATTCTTTAAAATGTTTTTTGAAATTTATATTAAAAATAAGCTCATTTTTTCAAACGAAAATTTTCTCTAAAACGAAATAAATTAAGTATTCTTTAGAAACATTTTATTTATATTTATAATGATGGTGTAGTCTACGTCTAGTAATAACTGCCGATGAGTAGCGAGGGGAAAGACAACGTGCTGCTGTTACAACGCATTTGTTTTGCAGTCTGTTGCATTCTATTCTGCTATTCGTACTTTGATGTAAAATGAGAAATTGATGAATACGCTAGTAAATCCGATAAATTTCAATAACTTAGTCAACAATGATTCTTATAAAGCAGGGTTGGTAAAAAAAACATGTTTTAAACGTGTTTTAAACAGTTTAAAACATGCTAAATTGATGTTTTCAATATGTTTTAAATATGTTTTTTTTATAGTACTGTTTAGCATATTTGAAGCATTAAAAACATATTTAAGAAGAAATACAGTACCCTATAAGCGCAAAATGTTCCTAGAATGTTACATGAATATTATTAAAAAAATTAAAATAATGTTATTATAATATTT